TGCTTGGAGGTATCTCTCCAAAACATAACTACAGTACTTAAGTTTAACTTATTAATGATGAGAAAAAGCTTTTAGAAACTTTAACATAATGATGCATCATATTCATATAGTCTCCCATCGGATTTTTCCATGTTAGTGCGGCTGGACCTCAGCGTTACACCTTCTTCTCGCATCTGCAGTTGCGGCTCCACAGGAGGAGAAGAGGGGGATGGGGAAGGAGGCAGTTCAGGAAACATCAGGAAGAAGAATACAAAATAAAGGTGGGGGGGGGGTGGGGGGAATGGGGGGGGAATCACTGAAATGCTGATTTACCGCTAGCACCAAACACCAGGAGGGGAAGAAAGTTACAAATCGATTGAGTTAATTAAGTATAAATAAATAATTTTGTGTTTTAGACGCCCGAAAATAACATTTGAGGCGTTCTGGGATATTGTTTTTTCTTTTTATTTCTTTTTTTTCTTTTTTCTTTTTTTTTCTTCTTTTTTTTACCTCTCAAAATTGGGGGCCGGGCCGCCCCCTCTAAATCCGCACCTGATCATGTATAGCGCCGTTGCACATGATTAAGTTCAGACTGGTTAACAATTTTGCGATACTCGATTAATGTAAGATAATCGACATATTATTTGAATTATTGTTTAACAGGATTAATAACATTTTCCGTTGGAACATTGTTAAATCATTGCACAGAAGACAACGGGACCAATTTTGGTCCCTTGTGAGGGACAAAATTGACAATACAGCTATCAGACAAGTGAACCTTGTACTTGACTTGATGATGTCTCTTACTAAAGAAAATCGGCAATCCAAGCAACATCTGAAGGTGAAACGTTCATATTTGTTCTGTATACATTATAGCTGTACATTAATGCCAGTCAAATAAACTAAATTTCCAATGTAATTAAGTAGTAAAAATAATAAGTAGTTTTATATGGAATTTTAATAAATATAATTATATAGGGCCTATTTCTGACTAAAATTAAGTAGGCCTATCTTTACTTATTTACAATTTCTTAATTGTATACAATTTTTAGCTTTTTTACCGTTTTTATATTATGGATGTAATTCGTTGTTACATTTTTTTAAATTTATTTTTATTTATTTTTTTTTCTGTTAATTTGTAATTGTTAAATATTGAGAATTTCCTAATTAAAATTTTGTCTGAGCGGGGTGTCTGAGTTGAAAGAAAAAATCCTCTTCTCACCTAATAAAGTAACATCTCTGTAACAAAGTAGTCTATATTGTTGACTTAAGATCGATGTTTGAATTTGTATTTTCCACGCAATCAATAAATTGATTTATGAGTATTCGTTAATAATATATATAGGCATATATACAAACAAAATATCATTTGATATCGGATAAAAGCTATTTGGCGCATTAATATAAAGGATACTCCTTTGGTCAACTTTAGGGTTTAACTCTACACATCGTCCCTCTGCTGTGTTTTACCGACGTCCCTAAAAACGTCCCTTGACTGGAACAAAGAATGAATGGAATCTGCTAGTTGGGTAAACTCGCGACGGCCAGGGCTAACTTATCTTTGACTTCAGACTTTTCTAATTTCTTTGTTTTAATATTCAATATCTAGAAACTGAGAATTTAAACTGTGGCTTGAACATGGTTGTCGTGGAGAAAAATGGAAATTCGGAAGCTGCCGAGAGAGAAAGATCAAATGGAGGAAGGCCAGGTTCAGCCAGCACTTCCAACGGGCACAGATCAGATGAAAGCCCAGGGAGCAGTTCCGACGAAGAACATGGTTAGTTACGTTCCTGGGTTAGAAGGGCGTAGGCATAGCGGCCTAGGGGCTAGGTCAAACATTGACAGGCTGATAAAATTTTTGGGCTGTATTGATGGTTTACTAGTTTTTTACTTTATTACAATTATCACATAATTATTATTACCTTGATGATTGATATCAGAATCAAAGTCATTTAGGCTAGGTAGGCCTAGGCCCTAGCTAGCTAGCCTCTAGCTAGGCCTAGCCCCTAGGCCTTAGTAGGCTAGGCCTAGGCCCACAGGTCATAGGTAGGCCCATAGGTAGCCTAGGACTAGTTATATGATGAGCAAGCAATAAAGTACTCCAGCCTGGGATAGATTGGCCTGCCTCAACCGGAAATTCTTCACATAAAACGATCAGGGCCTCCAGGTTGTAGACCTAGGCCTATACTAAGGCCTGCACGTGAATATATCCTCCAAACAATAATTTGGCCTAGAAATCTGTCTGAAAATTAGGGCTGATTTCCCGCAGATTTTACAGAAAATTATGCTTTGGTCTAAATTTAATATACAAACTATGTATTATACAGTAATTATGATTCTGCGCACCTATTTTTCTAGCATATTTCTCTGCAAATTAAAGCTGCTTTGTTTTTTTTTTGTTTTTTTTTAAATCACAAAACATTAATTCAATGCAAAACAAAATCAAGGAACAGATAAATAATTAAGAGAACAACAGATAAAACATTAATTCCTAAAGTAACCTAAGAAAGTTTTAAAAATTACAAAAAACTTATTTCCATTGGGCCCTTAATTTCTATTGAGGCCATTAATACCCATGGAAATTTTTCCACTGGGCCCAATTGTCTAAGTTAGAGCATTCAGTACATTACTGTACTTATCCATTTCTGCCTGTTTTATTTAAAAGAAATACTAGTTTATGGGACACAGTTAATTTATTTAATTGGCCGTCATAAAGTAAATTTATTTGAAGACTTAAAACTCTCATTAAAACATTGAATTCTGTAACTTATGTCAAATGATCTATATATATATTAACTTCCATTTATTTATATATCATGGGGAAAAAAGTTTTGTTGAATAATTTACATAATTTTTCACTACAAAATACCTTCTTAAAATGATTTGGCTGTGGTTTCTAAAGGTGTGAATTGCTAAAACGGTGGTCGCGATCAGGGGTTGATTGACAGTTCGTTATAGAATACTAGGTGTAGTGTATCGTCCATCAGATGATCTCGATTTTTTATCATTGGTTATATAAGAAAAATGTTAATGCTACATTTAGGATTCGCCTCTCACTCATAAGGCTACTACTAAAATTAGTTTTGTGCAATTGCAATTTTCAGGGGATGCAAACTTTTTTGTGCCCCCTGACAACCTCTCCCAAATAGGCTATTTAAAATTGATTGCAGAGGTCAGGATGTGTGCATTTCTTTGATGTCACTAACAAATAGCCACACCTTTCATGGTAATAAATGTAAGGACTACTGTAATTGGCCAAATAATTTAATACTGTATATCAAGACTGAACAAACATCCAGTAATGCTCTCACACGGTCAGTTCTAAACTATAAAAAAAAATGGAAGTTATTTAAAAAGAAATGTCTTTTATCTAGTAAGCAGTACAGTAGTAGGCCTACTCTGGATGTCATTTTGTGAAAGTAGTGAGTAGATTAATTTAAGGGATATCCAATACAATTTGCATCAGAATGTGCATATTGACAATCAGTGCATCAGCAAAATATGCTTGGAGTTCGTATTTAGGTTTATTGTTAGGAAGGGTTTTTAAGATGGCCAATATTCGAGGGAGGCCTTTATTATTAATTTTTTTTTTTTGGTGTAAATTTTCATTTCATTATTTATTTGACACAAAGGCCCTGACACTTGTAAAGAAGCAATTGCCTCTATGACTCAGTAAGCCAGAAGTCCTTAAATAATAACCAAAAAACACCAAAAATGTTAATAATAACAGTACAGTACGGGTATGTAATATGTATCAAAAAGATATGAATACGTACTTACACAAGTAAACGCCCCTTTAATTTACTGTCATAAAGTGTTAATTGATACTGTATGACTTATTCATCTGGTTTTCAGTTGAGAAAAAATGTAATTCTACTTGGGTAGAGTAGAACAATAATAGAATATATTTAGAATGATGTTTTCCATTAGTTTTGTTTTCAGTCATTCAGTTTATTTGAGGGAAAAATAAATGCTCCAAGGTGTTTAGGCCTAATGGAGGCATTCCTTCCAAATGAAGTTCTGGAGGAGGGATATATTTAATGGTGGTGGGGGGGGGGGGCATTTAATTGAATAAATACGGCAAATCAGGCATTTAAATAAGATTATTTCATAGCCTGTGGTGGTACAAAATACATTAGCAGTCACTTTTATATTATAATTCAGGCATTTTATTTAAGATTATTTGATAGCTGTGGCAGCGCAAAATACATTAAATTAGCAATTGATTTTTTTTTTTTTTTTTTTTTAAATCAACAAATTATCTTTTTCAGAACCAGGAATGAGAATTGGGGCAGAATACCAAGCTGTAATTCCAGATGTAGTTGAAAGTGAGTGAAGTACAATAATTTACATTTTATATTTATATTAAATTTATTTGTTGTCTGTGTGTTATAATATGTATAGAGGTTTTCATTGGTCTTCATGAACGACTGCTGAGTTTTTTTTCTTAGCATTCTTGTGAAAATACTGTAGTGTCAGAACAGTAGCCACATTCAGGGGTGGATCCACAGATGTCCAAAAGTGGGGGCCGAAAGTGGGGCAGATCGAGACAATACTACCCTAGGGGGTCTAGGGCATGCCCCCACGAAATTCTGAATGCTCAGTACATTCCCATATCTTGAAAGTGATTCTGGTGGGGATCGAACCCATGACCTCCAAATATTACTAGCCTGGTGTCTTGTCCACTAGACCATTGAGATTGCGCTTAGTGACTAGTGCTGAATCCGATCCCCAAGGAGGCGAGTACTGCAATGGTATTCGATCCAGATGCACATGTTTTGCATCAGGAGATTTTTAATAAGAATAATGTTTTACAGTACCTGCTGCTACGGCACTTGGGGATCAAATTCACCACTCACTAGTCACTAAGCGAGAAATCAGTGGTCTAGTGGCTTAGACACCAGGCTAGTTTTCTGGAGGTCATGGGTTCGATTCCTACCTGAATCACTTCAGAGATTTTTTTTTTTTTGCCAGTAATTGGGAAACTATTGAAAATTCAGTAATAACATGTCAGCAAATATTGAATTATTTTTATTTCAGTGGATGAGTACATTCACGTTGCGAAGGAGAAGTATGGCTACAACACGGAACAGGCACTTGGAATGCTGTTTTGGCACAAATACAATGTGGCCAAGTCGCTAGCAGATTTGCCTAATTTCACACCATTTCCGAGCGAGTGGACTGTTGAAGATAAGGTTCTGTTTGAGCAGGCATTCAGCTTCCATGGAAAGAGCTTTCACCGAATCCGACAAATGGTAAATAAAACTAGCTATTTAAAACAATTGTTTACAAGTGGCTTATCTCGATTGTGCGCAGAGAGGATGACACCACCCCAAAAAATACTTGCCTGCCCTCCCCCAGTTGCAAAAAAGTCAGGCTTAGGTAGTTAAAAATCACCTAAGATCATTTTATTTTGCCAACTAGCTCCCCTCACCTAATCATCAATCCCCCTCTGTGACCTTGCGCCCCCAACAGTCACTGCTGTGTATTCATATCGGATTATAACTTATAGATAAAGTATTAAAAATTATTTATAGTATTAGAAATGACATAAAAAAAATCAAGAATACATAAAAATAATAACAAACATGTGAACAATGAAATTGGTTTTACCAGTTTCTAAAAATAGAAAAAAAAAAATTGACAATATTGATAATAATATACAAGTCATGTTCCACACGTTGCCCAGATCAGTTTTCTTTTGATGTCTGCCCTATCAGATTTTATTTGATTTGTGATATGCCCATATTTGGGTGTAAGTAATATGATAGTGATATCATCTGTCCATATATGGGCATTTGATAGTGCCAACAGTTTTTAATACATGCGATTTTCCATATGTCTATTAAACAGCTCCCAGACAAGTCTATAAGCACTCTTGTACGATACTATTACCAATGGAAAAAGACAAGAACACGAACCAGTCTGATGGACCGGCATGTACGCAAGCTGACGTCTGCCCAAAAGGATAATGATGAGTAAGTCGTAAGCCTCGTCCAGTCTATCAAGTATTATGTGTCATGCCTGCATATGACCATGATGACATCACATCATGGAAAAATATAGGCACGTCATGCCCCCAATTATAGATGACGTAATAGAATTTGGAATCTTTCCAACACCTTGTAATTTTTTAGAGAGTATAAGTTCCTGTTGAAACTTATTGTTCTTACAGTAAATTGGTTATGATGTGCTAAACATGTCTTATTTATTATAAATGTTTATCTATTTTTTGTATAAATTTTAATTAACTTTTTTTTAAATAATTATATAATATCATCATTTTCAAGTGACTTGATCATTGAATATTTTTGTGAGTTTTCAGTATTATTCAAAGTCCAACCATGGGAGAGTGACAAAAATAGTGGTTTACTGTTAGAAATTTTTAGTGTGCTTTAATAAATCCATCTTTTTAAAAATAATATTTTAACTTTATTCCATTGTCAATTAATATGTACAGCACTGCTCTTCTTTGTAGTTATCATCCTGGGAATAAAATATTTATATAAATATTGTTTATTCACAGGAATGAAAGCGGTGAGAATAGCAATGACAGTGACTTTGACCCAGATAAGGAGACACAAAAGGTATGGATTTAATAATTTTATTGAATAATATGATACAGATAATGAAAGATAATTAAGTAATTAATATATTGTTTAATGAATAATATATTGATTTTCAAACAGTTTTATGAGCAATTTACCAAGAATGTGATTAAGAGTCTAAAAATTAAATGTATTGCTTTTTAAATTATAAAATATAGGCCTTGATTGATGGGCGATTACATCATTTCTTTTTATGCTTGGGGTAAAAAAATAAATCAATTTCTATGACCTTGACCTTGTCTTTGACCTTTAAGAAATTTAGTCATATTCTCTTTCTTCGTTTATTATTGTACCATTTCACTAAATTTTATGACCCATTTATAGTTTTTGTGTAATCTTGCTAATGACAAACAAACAGACAAACAGAGCTGAATACATAACCTCCTTTGGCAGAAGTAATTAACAGTATATGATCTTTGTTGCTAGGGTGATGGGTCCAAGAGCGGCTGTTCAAATTGTGCTGCAACCATGAGTCAGCTGCATACAACCCCAAAGGGTCAGTTTTGCAACCAGTGCTACAGTTATTGGAGGTAATGTATCTACAGTAGAAGCCTTCCTTTGGGACACCCTATTATTAATGATTTTAAAATTTAATGTCAAGCATACAGTTATGATGATTATAATAATAACACAGTCTAACAATAATATTAATAATCATAACTGTACATATGCATCTCATATTATATGATAAAGTTGTTTACCAGAACTGTTGAAATTTCCAATACCTCCTCTTTATGTATTTCTAGACGAACTGGTGTAATGCGAGTCCATACTGGCCCAGTGCGTAATGAATCGCACAGTTTGCGCCATCATCCCGTACGCACGAGAAAGAAACCACCCAAGGGGATGTACATCAATGCTGATGACTTGATGGTGATGACAAATGCTGCACAGTCGGAGATCATCTTCAAGGAGTTGGATACAGAAATGACCAATAAGAAGAGAGAAGTACGACTTAACTTTTTTTTCGTATTCATCCAACAGGAAGTAACTTGGCATGTAAATCTGTCCAATCTTTCAAGTTTTGTTTGAAAAAAGGGAAATATATCTTATTTGCCCATGCAGTATGTCTATTGTATCTACCAATTGGTGCCAAAGGGTATTTGTAAATTGAAACATTAATGAACTAGATTAGGTGTCAGTTTCCACTACCTATTCTCTGGCATTGAGCGCTGATGGCAGCTAGGCCTATCAAGAACTGACAGTGCAACAGCATGGTCCACCATGCTACCAGCTAAATTTAGGTAGTACAGTATGGAATCACACTAATATATTGATTATTAAAGCAGAAGGAAAAAAAAAGGATTGAGCTACTGTGTTAATAAATAAATACAACAAACCTGATTTTAAGAAAATATACATTGAAATAAGAGCAAAATCATTCATAAGACTGATTTGTAAAATGGACGTCATACTGTATATGTGGACATTGTGATATCGTACAGTATAAAGAAATTTGGTACACACAATTTTATTGTTGGACCTTTACATAATCTTTATCTTTTTATTCATTTATATGATAGGTACAATACAATAAACAGCTTCTAAGCCAACAACGCAATAGTATGACCGACAAGTTTGAAGAATACCGTCCTCAAGTTTCGACTCAGCGAAATAACGTACGATGGACGAATGATGAACTACTGTTAGCTGTGCAAGGTAAGAGATTAGGATATGGACTATTAAACTCATGACCATATTAAGGCGTGTCACATAATTTGTCAAAATAAAAATTGATAGTCTTAACGGGTCTTTATGCCATAGAATTTCCGGCCTTTGGAATTTAAGCCCTCGTGCTGACATTCGCTACTTGATCAGCAGATAGAATTCTACTGTTGTAATTCCATATTAAAAGATAAGGTGAAGTAGTGTCTTTAGGCTCCTGTCTAATACAACTAGGATTGCGGTGTAAACATCAAGGATAACGAGCAGGATGTGGTGAGTCGCACCGCAACCTACAGCCATAATATTGGCGTTGGTTTGAATGGCACGGTCGCCTCTGGTGGTGGAACAAGTCTTCTCGGATAAGGGCTATAAACCGCAGGCCTAGCGTACACAATTGGCTCATGTGCACTTAAAAAGAACCCAGTACATCTTTCGAGATGAGTAAGGGTTAACCCCGGTGTACTGGTCCATACAGCCCCAGTTACCCTGCGCTTACGGATTATTAGGTCCTTTGCAGGATATGCCTACGTAAAAAAACCCACGGAAGTTCAAAGGAGAGTTATTTGGTGCAGTACACTGGTTGACAATTCCCTAATCTTTTCCAAAGTGTGTACTTTGTTCTTTAACGTGCACTAACAGCCTAAACGTTGCTTCCGAAAGACGGTGCGCTATTGAAACTTGCATTAAACCCCTTATCTCCCCCCCCCCCAAAACACAGGGTGAGTAGCAGATCTCTACTGTTTAACTGAATGAGTTAAGCTGATACTAGTGTACTTGAAGGTGGCACTTTTAATCTGGATTGATTCTCTAACGGAGGAGTATTATAATTGGATACCTGGTGGCCTTGCCTGCTCCTATGCTGATTACATCAGCAACACTTGAGCGCTGCAACCCAGTGACCTAGAAACAATAGACTTCATATATCTGCAAATCAAGGCAGTACATAGATAAGCAAATGAATAATCAAATAAAATAATATATCTACTAATTCCCCCAGTATAAACCTAATCACAGGTATCAAATTGTTTACCTTTTGATAAATCTTTAAAGTGATCAGTAGAAGATCCAGGAATTTGAAATGAAGGGGTTCCAGGGAGGGACTTTCAGCAGATGGAAGGTCTAGATTGCTGGAAGTGCCACTCCCAGGCTTAAAATTTGAATACAATTTTTTTTCTCCATCTTTTTGTATTTTAAAAAATGTAGGAGGGGTCTGGGCTGGGCTTAACCCCCCCCCCACGGGTCTTTATGCCATAGAATTTCCGGCCTTTGGAATTTAAGCCCTCGTGCTGACATTCGCTACTTGATCAGCAGATAGAATTCTACTGTTGTAATTCCATATTAAAAGATAAGGGGAAGTAGTGTCTTTAGGCTCCTGTCTAATACAACTAGGATTGCGGTGTAAACATCAAGGATCGAGCAGGATGTGGTGAGTCGCATGGCTGAGCGGTTAAGACCGGGGCACCGCAACCTACAGCCATAATATTGGCGTTGGTTTGAATGGCACGCTCGCCTCTGGTGGTGGAAAAGTCTTCTCAGATAAGGACTATAAACCATAGGCCTAGCGTACACAATTGGCTCATGTGCGCTTAAAAAGAACCCAGTACATCCTTTGAGATGAGTAAGGGTTAACCCCGGTGTACTGGTCCATACAGCCCCAGTTACACTGCATTTACGGATTATTAGGTCCTTTGCAGAATATGCCTACGTAAAAAAACCCACGGAAGTTCAAAGGAGAGTTATTTGGTGCAGTACATTGGTTGACAATTCCCTAATCATTTCCAAAGTGTGTACTGTGTTGTTTAACGTGCACACTGTGTTCTTTAATGTGCACATGGGACTAACAGCTTAAACGTTGCTTCCGAAAGACGGTGCACTATTGAAACTTGCATTAAACCCCTCCAGTGAAAACACAAGAACAGCAGTGATGGAATTGAGCTAGGAACGCAGATCTCCACTGTTTAACTGAATGAGTTAAGCTGCTACTAGTGTACTTGAAGGTGGCACTTTTAATCTGGTTTGATTCTCTAACGGAGGAGTATAATTGGATACCTGGTGGCCTTGCCTGCTCCTATGCTGATTACATCAGCAACACTTGAGCACTGCAACCCAGTGACCTAGAAACAATAGACTTCATATATCTGCAAATCAAGGCACTACGTAGATAAGCAAATGAATAAGCAAATATAATAATATATCTACTAATTCCCCCAGTATAAACCTAATCACAGGTATCAAATTGTTTACCTTTTAATAAATGTTTAGAGTTATCAGTAGAAGATCCAGGAATTTGAAATGAAGGGGTTCCAGGTAGGGACTTTCAGCAGATGGAAGGTCTAGATTGCCACTCCCATGCTTAAAATTTGAATACAATTTTTTTTCTCCATCTTTTTGTATTTTGAAAAATGTAGGAGGGGCCTGGGCTGGCTGGGCCTCACTTAACCCCCCCCCCCCTGTGTATCTGGTAATCGACTTTCAATATTCATACTTTTTCCAGCTGTCAGAAAATATGGAAAGGATTACCAAGCAATAGCTGATGTTGTTGGTAATAAGAATATTCAGCAATGCTCTAGTTTCCTGGTGAACTACAGAAGGCGCTTCAACTTGGACCAGGTCTTGGAAGAGTATGAGGCTGACCAGGCTGCTAGCAATGACCACAAGAATACTGAGGTAAGTTTCCAAAATTTGACATGCTTTCATTTTTCGTTATTATCAGATTAATATAAATAAGATTTTTGATCAATTATGAGATCCATTTTCTTTATTGTGTATTTTATTTCATCATTTGTGTCTTTTTCGAGGCCTCTACAATCTTGTTGAAATACCAGTGTACTGCACCACTCATTGGTCGCACCACCACGATGGGGGTCTAATGTTCCTAAGTTTGGGAGATGGGTCGGAAATGGCTGTGGTCTGGTGTCGCTCAAAATCCCTCTGAAGGGAAAAAGTTGGCCTAACCCCCAAAAAATATTACAATTTAGGGGTTTCAGAGGCTTATTAAATCACTTTGAGAGTACTAATATGTAAAAAATATGTATAATTATTTCTTTTCCTCGACGAAGTGTGTTGTACTTCCCGATGGTAGGCCAGCTTTTCCCAACAGGGCCAAGGCCCGCTCCTGGTGAAGTTACAAGCTGTCAGTCATAACAGTACAACCAATTTTATTATTGAATTGAATAATTTAGCATTCATTTATTTTGCAGTCAGTTTTGTCAGAGAAGCAGTTGCCGTTACCAAGTCAGGTGACTGGAATGGTAGCCAATGTACCTCCCCCATTACTAAGACCATCCCATCAACCATCTCCAAAGACCTCCGTCTCGGCACAATCAAGGTGAGTCTAACACAATAATTATTTTTGCACTTTTTAAAATTAAATGTATAGCAGTGGTGTATCTCGGGGGGAAAGCGGTGGGCGCATGCTGCCAAAAAACCTTGCATCCCCTTGTTGCACACCCCTCCCCCCATTGAAAATGCTTGAAGCTAAAAAAAATATGCTCAAGTAGTTAAAATTTATCTCAAATCACCTTATTTTTTGAGCAAGCACCCCAACCTAATTATCACAACCCAACATGCAACTACATCAGCTTTCTTCTCATTTAAAGACCACTGATTTCTAGGTAATAATGCAATATTGGCATGTAATAGTATCATACAAATATTGACTGCTCATAAGGGGAATGGTAAAATTTATTGGCCCGAGGTGATGTGGAGACCGTAGCCTATCCTCCCGATAGGCTATCGTCTCTACATCACCGAGGGACTGTAGATTTCCCTGTTTCCCCAAATCTAGAGCAGTCAATATTTGTTTTATATGCCTCATACATAGATTCTTCGAAACCTGAAAAAGTAATGAAAATAGGCGATCAAAGGGCCAGTCTCTCTCAGTGTCATAGATGTCCTCCTTTACCGTTCATGCGTCTCATAAATTACACACGGCAGGGCAAAACAGTACTATTTTTGAGGGGAATAGTATACAAATAATGAATGTTTATGACTGCAATGGAACAGTCAATCTGTCAACAAATGAAAATATTCTTTCCATTGTGCAATTAAATAACATTCATTGTTAAATTCAATGTTAAGTAACACACATAAAATAATCTATTCATTTGACATTTTATAAAAAAAAAAATTCTAGTAATTTGATGTTTTATGGAAAAATTTACCTTTTTCCTTAATTGAACAGTCCATTGTCTCTTCAAAAGATTTTACTATAGTAGGACAGCCGATAGGCGATTTGTCCGTTATATCGCGATTTTTCGATCTTACTTCCGCATTTGCTTAGCGCAGCGCCACCTATCGTTTCAAAGTGTAACCACGTTTTAGCGTCGCTTAGCAAAAAGGCATCAGCTCTATTTATAGTTCTCATTAATAGATAAGGCCCGCCCATGGCTTCCTTATATGGTAACAAAATTTCCTAATATATCTAATTTGCTAACCAATTGGGTTTGCTTGAAATAACCTACACTGTCGTAAGCATTCATCGGTTGATGTTGACGCAGGCGAAATAGTGAAAATCTGGTACGACTTGTCTATGCATTTATTTACAATATTCTCCAGAGTCGGATTTGTGTCCCAGCTAAGCAATATTTTTTTCAAGTGTTGATAAATCATGTTAAGTCCTAATTTAGTCGGGTAAGACTTGTTTCAACTCTGATCAAAAATTGTTATTCATACTTCTAGGCCGTAAAATGCTAGGCAGTTTTTTGAGCATGTGAGCGAGAACTGTAGCACTACAGCGGGCCGCATTGCGGTGCGATGCATTGTAGTTAGCGTCTGAATGCATGCATTCCACGTGTGTTAGTTTAGGATGGTTTATAGACCTTGCTTATATTTCTATATAATAATTAATTATTTTGTAATTACAGCCTAGGCCTAGGGATTCATGTTTATTTTCATTAATTTATGCTATATAGAGCCTAGGGATAGGGATGTTTCATAAAATAATATTTTCAGGCATATGTATGACTGTGAGTGATTTAATTAGTAAAAAAAATTCATCATCAAATCCCTCAGAAAGCCTGCCTAAGGAAAAAAAAAACAAGCTGAAAAACACTACTATGTTAAATCAATATCAGTAATTAATATTGACTTTGCTTTTTAATGTTTACATTATGAAAACATCATCTTTAAATTTTAAAACAGATATTTAATAAGCAAAATAATGATGTTTGATGCTTATTAAAAGGCCATATAATGAATATTTTTCTTATAAGAAGCAGATTTTGTAGTACCCGCATGAAATGTGTGCACCCCACTTCTACAGTAAGAAGTTCCGCCCTATGATACTAAAGTCTCTCCTATGGAAATGTACCATATCTATATTATAAATCCCCTGAAGTTTTTTTTTAAGAAGATGGGGGAAAGGGGTGTGGTATATTCAATGATATCATAATCAATATATATGTTTTTATGTATTATGTTAATATTTAGAAGCAGGTGTATGCAATTATTATTATAAATTATAAAGAAAGAAAATGATTAATAAAAATAAAAAAACAAAATGTTGTCTTCTTCTCCTTTATTAAGTCCTAAAAATCGCATATAGGCCTAAATTGAGTGAAATTGTGAATGATAGTGAATTTGTGAAGGATGGTACTTAATTCATGTACAGTTGTCATCAAGCCAACATGATACAGATTTCAGAAAGATTGGAGCTATTTTTAAATAGGCATTATCCTCGCTGCATATTTACGGGTACGCGAATATGCTAGGCCCCCAAATGTGCGCGGCCTAGGCCTCAGCCTCGCATACGAATCGTAATAGAAACCAACAGAAATGTTATCGATAAATTACTAATTTGGAAGACTAAATATGTAATAATATTCATTTTAATGGTATATATTTATTTCACACATATTAATTATTGGTGTAACAGACAGTCTTGGAATTGCTCTGTATAAATACGATCTTCCTGATTATGATCGCCGATGTTTCCAAAATGGAGTACACGCTAGTCCAACGAAATGGAGGTACCCTTAGTTTCCAGAGTCGGATTTGCGTACCAGCTACTGTACCCAATTTGTTATCTTAATATTTTAAATTACAGATTATAAATTTTTATAGCAGGGATTTTGAATTCATTTCTGATCAAATTTTTTTTGTATTTCAAATTAACGATTTTCTAGAGCACAAAATCGTAAAAATTGTGTACCGAATTGTCCATTAAATTACACTTTATCGTTTCGGTCAAAATACACTAAAAGTATTTCACTGTATTTTTAAACTATTTATAAACATATTTCACCATTATGTTTGTTTTGTTAAGTAAGCTGTTTGATAAATTAACGTTTTTTCAAACACCACCAAATTTCGATAATTTGAACTAATTTTGAAAAATAGGGCGCCCTCTCCTAGGCGAAATTTGACATGATTTTTCCAGTGGCTTTCCTACTGACTAGTTTGATCTCCGTATTGTATCATAGGCCCCATGCAATTTGGAAAAAAAAGAGTGGAAAAAAAATGCACGGATGGAAAAAATAATCCATGTCGGAACTAAATTTCCTTGATGCGTGACGAAATGGGGTAAATAACCAATGTCACATGATATGAAATCCACCAATCAAATGACAGGGATCTATTTAGGTGTGTTATAACACTTTCTATTGCTTGCTTCTTAATGAATCAGATGCCTAGAACCTATGTATTGGTATGTAATTCCTTATATTTCTTTTTCACGCAGATTTCTACAGCCTCCTAGGTCAGCCCTGCAGCAGCTTCCACCGCCACTAATTCGGCCGGCATCTAACCTTCCTCCCAGCCAGCATAGAGCTCATCCTGCTATTACAGGCCCTCTGTCAAGGCCTCCTCAGTTAGTTGGTAATCAGAATCCGCAAGAGAGCCCTGTCTCACAGTAAAAGACTTTAAGAATTTTTTTTTTTAACTCAACAATTTAATAGACTGGTAGATTGCATCTGTTTTTGTTTGATTATTATGTAATTATAATATTTAGTTGTTTATAACATTTTCGAGGCATTTTGCATTGAGTCATGTAGTTAAGTTTAGTTTTCTAGGGCTCCAGACTTCTGTCATGGTGACTTTGTTGCTTTTGGGGCCCCAAGGCACTTGTCTAAATAAATAAACAAATGAAATGAAATTGAAATTATCAATATGTTGCTGAAGGTAACACTAATATAATTAATATATTTGATTTTTCTCATCTTTTTTATCTGTTGTATTTATTATTCTAATAAGGTTAGAAATTGATGATATTTCTTTTGTTTGCCTCTTTGATTGAAAGCATTGAGTTACCTATATTCAGGAATCTTTGTGTACAGTAACAGACTTTGTTTGTCAGGTGAAATGTTTAATCAGACTTGAAATGTTTAGTCAACCCATGCCTGAGAGACAGAAGTAAGGAACACACTACATTTGTGTTAACTATAGCTGATGTAGCTTGTCAACATCTGAATTTGGTGGTACTGTAAGCATTGGAATAGTATCAGCATGTTAATTACTCTGTGGAATCCTTTACTAATTCAAATTTGAGTGTACAATGAGTCAAAATAGGCCATAATGAGAGTGCATATTTTCTTTTAAAAAGTTATAATTTTATGATCATTTTGACAGTGGTGTATCTATGGGTGTGTGTAGTGAGGTTGGGGGAGGGGGTAGTTGCATGGACCCCTAACATAAAAAAACTAGCATCCAACTATTCGTCCTCCCGCATTTAAAATGTTCAAAGCAAAAAAAAAAAACATGCTCAACAAGTAATTATATTTTACCTCATATCACCATCTTTTGCAAGCTAGCTTTTGCTCACTTAATCATCATAGGGCACCTTTTCACCTTCACACCCCCATCAGCGCCCCCCCTCCCCATTTCAAGGCTCCTCAATAAGCCACTGTATTTGATGATAAAAGTTGAATTTCTTTGGTTGAACTGTTAACTGCATCTTTAAAATCAATATTTACCAGTGTTGTCAGTTTGTACAGAAGAGGTGGATTTGATGCACACTTTGTACAGTATATGCTAGTAAAGATTATTTTTGTTGATTAATAGAAAAAATTAAGAATTATTAGGCAGTGCTGTTTGAAAATCAATCAATCGATCTCATAGTGCAATGTTTACCTTTATACCTCCTAATGTACATTATTCATAGAATACTTAGTCGGCTGTTTGAGATTGTAGTTTATAAATGCTTGAGTATAGACACTGAAAATTTAAATCAAAAATTAGCCTGTTCTGGAATACTCTGCTCCACCTCTTTTCTTTCCTTCTACCTTATTTTTTGGGGATTGCGGCCCCACTCTGGATTCACCCCTGATATTAACACACCTTCATTACATACAGGAAAGCCTGATGCACGCTGTGTTGGCATTTTCACGAGATGACAACAATGGCCACACATTGCGCAATAAATAATTTTCTACAGTAATTTATTCAAATAAGAGTACACTTGTATATACTGTATCATTATAAGAAAAAATAATGCTTAAAAAGGAATGACGTTTCGACTCCATCTTGAAATTATTCTCATGTTCAAGTGACAAAGTGAGATACAAAATTAAAGATTATATTTATAACAGATATATAATATACTTGCTCATAAATTCCTCTGTTTTTCTCTTGGTCCAGGCCTGATATTTCTGCTGCAAAGTTTCTAGTATTTACACTTGTGTATCAGGAATGGCGCCAGGCGGGGTGGGGGGGGGGGGCTACTGCCACCTCTCCTGGTCTCACACTTGTGCCACTCTTGGTATGTACCCATTTAAGAAAACTTGATGTGGCATCTTTAACCTAGTGTGTAGATATTTCATATTTCAACAAGTTGTGACTTACAAGTTAATATTGTGTGCTTATTACAATGAGATAGTAATGCAAAAAAATAACATTTGATATAGCATTGTTTTATTAATAATTAATGTTAAATTAGTAAAAGAAATTCATGCATTCTATATTTATTTATTTATTAATTTTTTTTTTTTTTTTTTTTTTGTGGAACCTGTAGAAAGAATGTTTTTTTTTTTTCTAGGAAATATTGTTTTTAGTCAAGTTAAGTATTCTAATATTATAGATTCTTTTGAATTTATCTATGTGGATGCTATTAAATGTTTCTCATAAATGTAATTTTGTATATCAACATATCAATACCACTTTCGGGTATTTAATAGAAGGATACCGGTATTAATTTCTTTGTCTGGAAATTTAAGCGGCAATCCAATATATTACCCTCAAAGTGGTAGGTGCCTTTAGTGAAGCCCTTTAATAATGTTCACATTTCTGATCAGAAGAGCCTGTCTAACTGATTGACTTGTTCACATACGTTGAGCGATGAATGCTTGCTTACCTAAACCACAATTTGCTGCTCAATTTAGTGAATATATAAATGTTATTTTAGCATTTACTTATTTATGTGTAAGTAGGATACATTGCCTGTTTTAATGAAGTTGGTGGTGTATATTATTTTGTTCGTAAGAAAAATAAAAGAAGCAAAAAAAATGTTTCGAAATGCTGTTTACTTGATAATAGGTAACAATGTTGAATTCAAGTTGTAATAAAATGTAATGAAAAATATTGAATTGATTTTTCAATTTATAATCGTTGTCTGCAAACATACAGTTCCATAATGATTGCAGTTCTAATTATAAATATGAAGTATTGTATGTTATATATGTTTAAAGATTACTTTTATAATGTATACAGTAGTGTAATTTCCGCCTTTAAGGTGTCTCGCGTCACGATTTTGATATAGCGCTAATATCGCATGTGACTGAACTGCCAGAGATTTATTGATAAGATACACCCTCTTCTGTGCATTATCTAGTGTGTATA